TCTCTCTCTCTCTTTCTGTCTCTCTCCACCTATCTCTCTCTCTCTCTTTCTCTCCCCCTCTCTCTCTCTCTCTCTCTCTCCCTTTCTCTCCTGTAAAAGCTAGAGAATGGACAATCCCTCTCCTGCAATCCCCCCCCCACCCCCGATGATGAAGAAGACGTTTCTGAACATCTTGACAGAATTCTATGTGTCACGACGTGGTGGAATCAGGCTCTCGTCAAGTTTTGGGCATAGGTAGCTATGGGTGTCATGTTTAAGCCTGTTACTTTGCCTTGATTTGTGGGTGGTTGGCGGCTGCTCTGGTGTGGTTTGCTCCTTTTTTCCTATCGAACATCTATCGTCCTTATCTCCCCTTCTTCTTTGTTATGTTTGTTACTCTCTTATGTTTGTAACACCTCTATTATTCTGGCGCTCATATGACCTTATGCAATTGCGAGCGCCGTAAAACCTCTACAATGTACTAAAACTAAAAACTGCCTTGATTTGGATGAAAAGAATATCCATAGAAATAGAAGTCGAAATATTTGCGATTGAAGGAGGGCAGGGTCGTCTTGTTTCAGAAGTGAAATTAGCGAGAAAAAGCTTAGAATTCCCATAGCCTAAAAGTCCTTGGAAATTGAAAAGTCCAATTTTTGTGTGCCTTTAATCAATGTTTTTCAGTAAAACCGACTAAGAAATGTGTTTTAAATGGATATATAAAAGCTGCTGAGCCAAAATAAGAAAATTAGAAAAGAAAAAGCCCAACATCCAGTAAAAATGTCTATATCTTTGAGTTCATCATTTTGACGAGCGCCTAATTTCCCCACGCTGCGTCACAGTATATGTACATGTATAACCTGAGATGGAGAGAGCCTCACAGACTCACAGAAATATGTACGTGTATATCCTGAGATGGAGAGAGCCTCACAGACTCACAGTATATGTACATGTATAACCTGCGATGGAGAGAGCCTCACAGTATATGTACGTGTATAACCTGAGATGGAGAGAGCCTCACAGACTCACAGTATATGTACGTGTATAACCTGAGATGGAGAGAGCCTCACAGACTCACAGTATATGTGCATGTATAACCTGAGATGGAGAGAGCCTCACAGACTCACAGTATATGTACGTGTATAACCTGAGATGGAGAGAGCCTCACAGACTCACAGTATATGTACATGTATAACCTGAGATGGAGAGAGCCTCACAGACTCACAGAAATATGTACGTGTATATCCTGAGATGGAGAGAGCCTCACAGACTCACAGTATATGTACATGTATATCCTGAGATGGAGAGAGCCTCACAGTATATGTACGTGTATATCCTGAGATGGAGAGAGCCTCACAGTATATGTACATGTATATCCTGAGATGGAGAGAGCTTTTGCCTTCAGGAGCGACGTGATGGGTCGTGCACTTTTACGACAGAAACTCCCAGGTTTGAAGTGGGTGTGGGAGTGAATGAATTGATGAGAAAACTATCTAAAGATGGTGCGTGTCTGAGGCCATTGAGACGTACTGTGTCTGTGTGTTTGTGTGTATGTGTGTGTGTGTGTGTGTGTTAGTTTCAGTAGAGGTTTTACCGCACACGCAACTGCATCAGGCTGGCCCGTAGAGTTATGCAAATTTAGAAGGCCAAATTATGCACAAAAAAGCAAAATTATGCAAGTTACCGTAGCACCATTCGCGACATGTTTTGCACTTTTTCAACTCGAAGTTTCATGATTTTCATGTTTTATGTACAGGAAAATTGAAAACAGAACATATCAGTATCAGTAATTTGTTGTGTATTTGAAAAATAAATAAATACACATCAGTAAAAAAAAACAAAAAAAAAACAAACAAACAAAAATAATCATCTCTGTAACTTTCAGCTGTAGATCTACAAATCTAGATCTATAGAGGAAAGAAACATGAAAAAAAAAAAAAAAAGGAAATCTGGCCCTCAGGTGCTGGAACATTACTAAAACCAGAGACTCTTGTCAAAACATGAAACATCAGCAGACATGAGAACAACAACTTTTGATGGATTGTAAAATTGAACATGCTCAAGGAACAAAATCACAACCCATAACCAAGATCTTCTAACAAGGGAAATAACCAACTTTTCGCTTAAATGAGACTTATTACGGTGATTACGTCCCTTTAGTCACATGGCGTGGCGTTAATTAATTGATTTGTGAAAAAAAAGGTCCAAAATTATGCAAATGTTGCAGAATTACGCGAAAAAACGCGGCCGCACAATCGCATAATCGTCCTGGGACAGATAGGGTGGTGTCAGCGCCACAAGATTAGAGCTGTTACAAGATTCGAGGTGTTACAAGATTCGAGGTGTTACAAGATTCGAGGTGTTACAAGATTCGAGGTGTTACAAGATTAGAGGTGTTACAAGATTAGAAGTGTTACAAGATTAGAGGTGTTACAAGATTAGAGGTGTTACAAGATTAGAGGTGTTACAAGATTAGAGGTGTTACAAGAGAGTAACAAACACAACAAAGAAGGAGGGGAGATAATGACGATAGATGTCTCATAGGAAAGAAGAAACAAACAACACCAGAGCACCCGCCGACCACCCACTTGCGTGTGTCTGTGTTTGTCCGTGTGTTTGTGTGTCAATGTTTGTGTGTGTCGTGTACGTTTGTTTGCGTGTGTCAGTGTGTTTGTGTGTGTGTCCGTGTTTGTGTGTCTGTGTGTGTCTGTGTAGGCGTGCTAGTGCTGTCTTGCAGCCATACCCTACATCCGAGGGTAGGGAAGATCTACACCCTTCTATAAAACTCTAAGGTATGGAATAAAGCCACCCCCCCCTCCAGCTGATTAAAGTTCAAGGTCTTCCCCCTTGACGACACCCACCTACTGCAATAAAAAATATCTGGACTCCAATTCATAATACATGAGGGTTGTTTTTTTGTGTGTTTTTTTACCAAAAGCAAAACAAACTAACAAGCTTAAAAATTTTATAATAACTCCTCATGTCCAAAAATTCTATAATAACTCCTCATGTCCAAAAATTCTATAATAACTCCTCATGTCCAAAAATTCTATAATAACTCCTCATGTC